GATTGCTTTCGCGTGGAGTGCCAATTGTGCCGACCGTGCTTCACATCGGAAACAAAACTCATTTTGTCACAGAGTTATCTTGAGCATCAGAATCGGATGGATTTCCAAAGAATTTTTCCACCATTCATAGTAAGTCATGTTTTCTCATGTAACTAATCATCTGGATTGTAATTGTAATAAATTTTTTAGACAAGAGACATGATGCTGAACAATTAACTACTCACTGAGAAATCAATTACTTAACAGATGGTACCAAGAAAAATGTGAATTAGATAAGACATGGAGTAGTTAATTATACGATGAAACGAAAAGTATGTATAAAAATAAAAGTATGTATAAATCTAGAATGAAAAACAATTGCAAGAAAGATTATTTATTTTCTGTTGTCGAGGTTCCTTTAGTGTTACGACCTTTTTTTACTTTTAATTCAGGCGCGTTTGGATTGACGCCTTTATAAAAAATTTGGAGCAATCTCTTGGCTCCTCCTTTCCTTTAACACTTCTCTGTATCGTTATTTTTGGGTCGTAAAACTTTGGTACTTCGAAAACGCTGACGCAACCGCCAAATCGATCGTTCGCACAGCCGTATGCAATACTGCGTACTTGTAGTTGAAGCAGTGCCGACATACACATTATGTACGGCTCTACTATGACAATAACATCTAGCTCGCGAAACACCGTTTCGTAGTCCATGTGTCTCTCCTTACAAAACTTTAAGACTTGATCGATGCAATTTATTTCAGCATGGCGGGTTGCATTACAAGTTTCATTTACGGTATTATTACCCGTCGTTATTATTTCATTATTATATATAAATAAACAACCAACCGGGACTTCATCAAAGATTCCTCCGCTTTTTGTAATGCAATGTCTATCCATGCCAAAGTATCCATAATAAGTACTATTAAATGTTGTACTATATGCTGGCGAGTTTGGATATTTTTAAATATCAATTTGGAAGACAGTTTAGCATAAAATTAACTTTTTCATGAATGTTACCTTAAACAAAAACAAGCTTTCCATTTGAAGTTTCGATCTTCAAAAATAATTGTATCTTGCACAAGAGAAAGTTTAGACAATACTTGCTTTTTCAAAGTATTTAAGTAACTCAACATCATTTAGCAAAATTAACTTTTTCATGAATGATTCTTTATAAAAATGTATTATCTTAAACAAAAAAAGTTTGCCGTTTGAAGTTTCGATCTTCAAAAATAATAGTATCTTGCACAAGAGAAAGTTTAGATAATACTTGCTTTTTCAAAGTATTTAAGTAACTCAAAATCATTTAGCAAAATTAACTTTTTCATAAATGATTCTTTATAAAAATGTATTATCTTAAATAAAAAAAAGCTTGCCGTTTGAAGTTTCGATCTTCAAAAATAATTGTATCTTGCACAAGAAAAAGTTTAGACAATACTTGCTTTTTCAAAGTATTTAAGTAACTCAAAATCATTTAGCTGCTGCATAGTTGTTTCCAATTTTAATTGCCTACATCTCTTGGTCTGGGATATCGCAGAACCTGAAGAAGTCGTTATACAAGTTAACATAAATTTTGTATTATGGATTTAGTATCAAAATAATCTGCATACATTACCTTTATATTCGGTCTAGTAGTGATTTCATAGCATAAATGCAACTCCATTTCATGTAAACGTTCAGATCCGACTGAGACACGCTGGGTCGCGTGTTCTTCAGCGCCACCTCGAAGTCACGATTCGTTAAGTGCGATTGTTCTTCCTTTATATTTTTTAATTGACCAATATGCTTCGTGGCTGCATCTGCCGCTTTGAGGTAGAGACTCTCCATGTCGGAGCCAGAATATCCGACCGTCTTCTCCGCAATCGTCGTGATATCCTCTTCGTTAAGTGTGTGTTTCAGCGATTTCAATAAAATAATTATTATTTGCTTGCGCGCCCCGAGATCCGGCAGAGAAACGTACAGTCTCTTGAAATACCTCCTCGTCACCGCCATGTCCAGATCTTGTGGCCGACTGGTCGCGCCGACGATCAGAATGTGATCGTCCTCGGACCTCGCTATGTCGTCCATCTGCTCCATGAACTCCGACATCACCCGACTGGAGCATCCGTCTGTCTGCGTTAGCAGCCAATCGATCTCGTCAATGAAGATGATAGACGGCTGATAGACCCTGGCCACCGCGAACAGCGCTTGCACTAGCTTCTCGCTGTCGCCGATCCACTTGATCAAAAAGCTCGCTGAAATGGAGAAGAACGTGGACTTGCTCTGCGAAGCTATGTACTTGCCGATGAGGAACTTTTCCGTGCCGGGTGGGCCAAACAGCAAGATGTTGGCTGGCTGATAGCGGAGATACGACCACAACATGGGGAGCACATCCGACATGATGATCTTCTTGATGTCTTCGAGCCCGGCGAAGACCACGTTGTCGTCCCACGTTGTGGCCCACGATGTCGTTTCACTCGGATGCATGATGTTATTTTTGATCAGCTTGATCGTGTCCGGGTCGATGTTTTTCAATCTCTCGTCCTCCATTTCCTTGCTCGCTTTTCCTTGCGACGTGTTGTAACTTTGCGCCGATTCATCCTTATAGCATTTGAACGGATAGACTAATGTATGATCATTACAGCTCCTTTTCGGCGCCGACTTGTTCATATTCATTTCCTGGATGTACAATTTGTCGCGGGCGTTCCTAAAGGAATCGATTAAAGATTGTTTTAGTATAATAGAATTATAATTAAGACATCTAGATTTCTTACAAGTGTAAGACCATGGAAGGTCGGTAAGAACCAGGAAGATACCTGGCGAAAGATGCCTGGAATGCGAACAGAGAGTTCTCTAGCTCTGGGATATGTTAAAAAGGCTTGGAGGATTTCCTGAGGACGGTGAGAATAAACACACTTAATATTTCGTCGTCTTCACTTTAATATGACGCGTTTAAATCAGAAAAGGAGATACGACGGCACGTCTGCCTCTCACACTTACTTCCTTCAATCTGTTTCAATCTGTTCTGTTCTTCGCGGCTTAACAATGCACAGTTTAATTCGAAAATATCTCAAGCGACCAATCAGAGAGGAGGATCGGTTAGTTAACGCAGTACGCAGTCGCAGAAGCAGTGGTAGAGTGAGAGTTTAGTGGCTGCGTTCCGTTTCACGCGCATGATGCGCACGTGGACATAGGAATATAAGGGGACAGAGC